CTGCACGGACAAACTTGAATTCCAGGTAGATTCAAGATTCGGAGAAGGGCATGGTTCTCATGATAGAGTTCCATCCAGAGAAAGAAATGGCTCATGCTACATTGCCTTGTTTTTTATGTCAATTTCCTTCTCTTGTTGTTCTTTTCCTTTTAGACCATTATAGCAATGAAAAGTAACAGACTGCTATCAAAGAAGTGTTCAGTTCAATCACTCAGTCATGTCCGAATCTATGTGACCTCACGAACCGCACGCAGCATGCCAGGCCTCCCTGTCCATCACCAACTGCCAGAGTCTACCCATTTACATTGAGTCGGTAATGCCATCCAGCTATCTCATCCTCTATCGTCCCATTCTTTTCTGGCCCTCAATTTTCCCCAGCATCAGGTCCTTTTCAAATGAGTCAGCTCTTCACATCAGGTGGCCAAGTATTGGAATTTCAGCTTCAGCATCAGTCCTTCCAATGAACACCCAGGACTGATTTCCTTTAGGATGGACTGGTTGGATCTCCTTGCAGTCCAAAGGACTCTCAAGAATCTTTTCCAACACCACAGTTCAAAAGCACCAATTTTTCGGTGTTCAGCTTTCTTTATAGTCCAACTCTCACATCCATACATGTACTATAGTCTAAATACTTTAAATGGAAAAGAATGACCTTTTTTTTTTTTCTTTTGCTGAAACAGTAATATGTGCCATAACCTGGTGGTTGTGGAAATAATTTATACCGGGGATATCATCTAGATTACCAATGAAAAATCTTTCACACAGGTTATATGATGCAACATAACAGAGGAAAAATTTAACCTGCATTGATTGTGGAGAGCAAGTATCTCTTTGGTTTGGGAAATACCTCTCTGCCCCCAGGTCCTCATTTGTTAATTAGGTGACCAGTCTACAGAAGAGGCCATAGTCAGTTTTTGGTAATGGCTCTTCTTTATTGTCCTCCTTCTACTGTTCCCTCCCCACTCCTGCTTCTTTCTCCTTCTCCTTTTTTAAATCCTGTCTTCATCTATTTCATCTTAAGTCCCCAGTTAATCCCTAGAAAATGAGGGCAGGCTATCAGGTGTGGGGATGGTGAAGAGCAATGTCATCTCTGATTAAACGGAGTGAGGGAGCAGCAACCCATTGCTTTGGCCAAGTTGTGGCTCCTCCTTAAATGATGGACAAATCTTTTAGATGATGTCCTTGCTGTGGATAATAGGCACTAGACCTGCCTGTGCTTCCTGATCTGCTCCCTGCAAATCCTTTCATCAAAACATCTTGGGAGAACCCTTCCAGTTTTAAGAGACTAAAACATGTAATTATTTGTGGGATAAGCATATCTCAGCTGCTAACCTGAAGGATCCACCTTTCTTTTCCCTCTACTTGGAATGTTCAAGAAAATGTCAATTATTCTTCCAGGAAATGTTTGTGCTGGTTATTCTGTTTGCCCTCATGTTCCATTCCAAGAGGGATAAGAATGACTGTAGCAACTAACTCCTAAACCACATATCCTATGTATCACTTATGTAAAAATATTCTGACCCACAAATCTTAAAAGAATAATATTTATACAGCCAATCCACAGGATCAGCTAAAGCACACATACAAATATTTAGACCAAAGAGCTGTGTCACCCACATTTCTTGTTACCAGGATGAGATGAAGCAATCGTGTTTTCTTATGAAAGATATCAGTATTTCCTAAATCCTCATCTATTTTCTTGGGAATTACATATTTTATAGTGCCTCTTACTAGAATTTAGTTTTATGTAAAGCACACAGTTTAGAAATACTGGCTTAAACTCTCAAAAAGAAAGTATCATTTTCATGATTGTGAGATGTTGTAGGTGTGGGTATCCATAGGGAAATAAGCAACTCTAGTTAGTAAATACTATTCACTGGCTATTAGAGGACATCTGTGGCCATTTTCCATAGTTCTGTGATTCAGCGACATGAAATATCACAAAGGGAGCAAATCTCAAAAAATTAACAGCTATGATTTTTCAAAATATTTTACAACCTGAATTTTTCCTTACTTAAAAATATACACCCATGGAGGTCTCACCTTAACTCATCCCTCTTTTGAGAGAGAGGACGATGACATAATCCCCTCCAAGTGTGACCTGAGAGACTTAAGCAGATACATACTTGACATCTGTTCGTTATCTAGATTTTACCATGTCAAGGGCAACATAATTTTTATGGCCAATGAGAAATATGTGGCCTTAACTGAGTGCACAGTTTGGAAAGTGTTATGCTGACAGTGAGACCTCTATCATTCTTGTTATAATAGAAATGTTTATTAAAGATATGCTTTCTTTAACAGTTGTCAAAATGCCAAATCTTAAGTAATTTGATGTAATATATATTTCAAACACCAATTAAGTGACATATTTTCTAAGATTTCAAGATTCTTTTAAGCAATGCATCCTTTTGATAGCCCTATAACAGATATAAATTTCCTGATTTTTGGAAAATTCACATTTCTTACAATTATGTAAAATGTGAATCCTTCTAAATGGTTTAGAGGTTTAAGCCATCACAGATAAACACTAGGATTTTTTTTATATTCTAGAGGCATAAATAACATACAACTACCTGACTGTACTCCTATATTTTAACAGGAGTAAGAAAAACAGCATCATTTAATATTAAGCAGTAAGTAAAAATATGCCAGAGGAGGTAATAGAGATATTGCCAAAAATCTGTCTCATTGGTGACAGCTTCATGTGTTTGATAAGATGTCTTGTTTCATTGAAAACTACAGCAAACCTCACAAGCCTAACATAAGCTGTTCCGTGTAAAATCACGTGCCATCTGCACAGCTAGGAAACAGGTGTCAGATGTCTCTTGGCTGGTTCACTTCATCCTGGATCCCACTTGCTGTAGGCCTCTCTACAACATGTGTCCAAAGGAAAGAAGTCACTTTGAGTGCAGGAAGTTGTCCCCATCACAGCAAAGCACGCGACCCTCTGATGCCGTTTGACTGAACAATAACTAAAATTGGACACAGATTCACCCTCATTAGATGCTGGAAGAGTTTTGCTTCTTTTCGAAGTTTGTCATTCTCTCAACTGTGAGTCAGTGCTCAAGCCAATGAAAATCAGTGAAGGAAAGGATTTTGCACATTTTCACGGGGAAACTGTAACTCTTTTTTCCGGTAGTAATTAAAAAATATCCAAGAAGAAAACAAATACAGAAGAATTTCCTCTGGGGGACACTGGTACTAATCTCCTCCTGCACCTTCAGTTTGCTTCGTGGCTTAGGATCCACTTGGCGGGCCTGTCTTTGGCTAGCCGCTCGGGCTCCTGAGAGTGGATGTGGGGCCACTGTTGGTGGGGGCCCCATGGTCTCGGCGGGACACTGGGCCCCTCTGTGTGGATCTGAGTGCAGGTCTCTGTGGGGACACTAAGTGGGGGCCCTCGATTTCTGTCTGTTCTGCACTCAGGGCAGGAAAAGGGCTCAGGGACCTGCTCCTACTCGTTTCTTGCTGCTCTGCCAGAGTTCCTCCGTGTCACCTCTCCCCCTAGCGGGTGGGCTTCAGCTGCCCTCACCCCCAGCGCTCACCTCTCAGTGCCTCTAAGAGAACCGGGCAGCAACCATGCTCGGGGCCCGTGCTCTGTGTCCTCTCTCCTGAGCTCTGGAAGCCTCTCTGTGGCCTGGGTCCCAGTCCCTCCCTCAGGCCCTGGTGGGGCTCCCACTGCTAAGCCCACCCTGGAGGACGGGGCCCAGGCAGAACCTGGCTCCAGAAAGAACCCACAGCACAAGCAGACCTGTGCCCTCTGCCTCACACCACCCCGATCCTGGTCTCACATACTGAGGTCCTTACAGGCACGGGGAAGCCCCATTCCTGCTGTCTCCTGGATCAGAGACCCCTCCTGGAGCAGGTCTCTCTACTGCAGTAGTGACTATGCACAGAGCCCTGAATCGCTCTAGAGAATCGCTCCTATCTCTCTGCTTTCTTGAGTGGAGGGGCCCGGGGAGGAAAGCTGACAGCACCCTTCTCCACAGGTCACTTCCCACCCGCTGCGTGACACATCCTGTCTGCTGATCTCTTCCCTCTCCGGGCTCTGGGGTGAGCAAGGTTGAGAGAAGGTGAGGCTTGCTATGACCCTGCACAGTCCCTGGGCCTGTTGAGTCCCACCTGTCCCCTGGGAGCCTCCTTGGACCACACATGTAGGGAGAGGTCACAGACCACAAGCCTGTCCCGAGCTCCTGGTCCTGTGAAATCTGATTATTTGCATTGTGGAGAAGTGAAGCTTCTTATCTTGGAGGCTCTGCTGCCTCTGGGAGCCTGGCCCTGGTGACTGCACACACAGTCACTCCCCTGCTCATTCACCCGAGGAAGGTGGGTACTATGATCAGGGCTGTCCTCTCCTCTGGGGAAGGAGCAGAGTGTGGTCCTCATCCTTGCTTCTGCTCTAGAGCATGAGGAAGACAGAGGAGAGGTGACAATCCTGGCCCATCTCAATCCCAGCTCCATCAGGGGGGAAGGTGCTTCTAAGACAGGTGTCATCTAATCCCATCAAGATGTGGGGATGAGGTTTCGCCCACTCTGGACTTGGGGTCATCACTGCCCCCAAACTCCCTTCCTTATTCTGACATGTGAGCTTATGTCTGACACTCTCTGAGCCAGAGGGGAATTTCAGCCTCTGCAAACCCCTCCCCTACAGCCCCACAAGTTCAAGGAGAGAGAGAGGTGAAGAGGACTGAGATGGATCCTGGGAAGGGAGAGGTCTTTGGGTTTAGTTCACCTTGACATGTCCTGAATGCTATAGCCCATTTCTGTAGTGCTGTGATTGTGGAAACTTTCCAGTGCACTGAGGGAATTGGGGTGCACATTGGGGTCACCCTCCCTCCATGGCCCCCTCCCATCTGGAAGTCAAAGCAGGCATCTGGCAAGAGTGGACCCTGAGCCCTTCCCTTCCCTCCAGCAGGGCACAGATGGAGGCCACCACCTTTCATGAGAGAAATGTTTATTTGGGGGAAATAATAAAAAAAAGTTGTGGTAGGAAGGAGACTTTAGCACATAGATGATGTGCTAACACAAGGAAAAACAGGTTTTCTCTGCAGGTACTGAATTTTCTCTTGTGCAAACATTTTCTTACCAGGGGAGGCATGAGGAGCATGCTCTTGTTGGCCAGAGGGGACACACTTTTGAGGCCAGCATGTTGGGCAGTGGTGCAGTTCCCCTGAGTCCCTTGCCACCCTCGGGCCATGCTGGCAGGGTCTGACTGGGGACTCTGGCTCCCTGGGTGGGAAGGCCCGCCTGTCGCCCCTGTCTCTGGTATGCCTGCTCTTGCTAAGATGGCTGTGGTCCTTGGGATTGGCTTGGTGACTGTGTGCTGTATCTTTCAACATTTTTCTCTGTTCTGAGGAAGAGAGTGTCCTGTGGTGGTGGGAATGCTCACCCACTAGGGCCCGAAGCTGTTCTCTGTGGTGATTTACTTCTGAGGCATGGGGTCCTTGTTGAAGCCCCAATTTCTCTACCAGGACCTGTCCAACAACTGTTCCAATCACCTCAGGATCAATAGTCCTGCCATCTACAATGAATTTGTCTTTGATTTGTTCTTGGCACTGAGCAGCCACTGATGCAGGCCTGCCTTTTTGAAAGGTTTCTTCTATTTGTTTGTCTTTTTTACTGGGGCTAAGACACTGCAGAAAGTGCCTCATCCTTTTTTTCAAATAGCTTTCTGGTAAAAGTTGTTCCTTTTCTGGTGAGAACTGGAGGTATTTGCCCCCAAGAGACTCTGTTTCCCTCACCTGAGGAGACTGTCTGATCACTCTGGTATGAGAAGCCCTTAGTCCTGAAATTCTTTCTTCATACTTTCCAAATTTGGGTCTCCAATTACCCTTCCTCTCATCAGTTGGTGCCAACATCCTGCTTTGGCTATGCATTTCTTCATCTTCTTCTGGTTCAGGCCTCTCACGGATCTCCCCCTCATTGACTAAGGCAAATGGGCCCTTACATGGATCCCTAACTTTTGTTTTCCTGGGTTTCTGTTGTTGTTGACTACTCCTTGTTTTATCATGTTCTCCTGGTTGGAGCCTCCTAACACTCTTCCACTCCTCAGCTGGGGTTATCATCTCCCTCTGGCTCTTCACTTCTTCAGACTCTCTGGGTTGGGGTCTCTTAAAAGCCCTGCTGTCCTCAGGTGAGGTGAGCATCTCACTCTGGCTTTTGGTTTCTTCATGTCCTCTTGGTGGGAGCATCTTAAAACCCCTCCACTCCTCAGGTGGGGGACATATCTCACTCTGGCTATTCATTTCTTCATTCTCTTCTGGTTTAAGGTTCTCACAGATCTCCCCCTCATCAATTGAGGCAAATGGGCCCTTACAAGGGTCCCTAACTTTTGGTTTCCTGGGTTTCTGTTGTCGTTGACTACTCCCCGTTTCTTGTTCTCCTGCATGGAGCTTCCTAATACTCCTCAACTCTTCAGTTGATGTGAGCATCTGGCCCTGACTTTTTGTTTTTTCATAATTTTCTTGTGGAGGCCACTTAAAAGCCTTCCACTCATCAGCTGGGATGAGCATCTTATTCTGACTATGGGTTTCTTCATACTCTCTGGGTAGGGGCCTCTTAAAAGCCTTGCTGTCTTCAGGTGAAGTGAGCATCTCACTCCTGTTTTTGGTTTCTTCATGTCCTCTTGGTGGGGGCTTCTTAAAACCCCTCCACTCCTCAGCTGGGGGACACAACTCGGTTTGGCTGTTCATTTCTTCATCCTCTTCCGGTTCAAGGTTCTCACAGATCTCCCCTTCATCAACTGAGGAAAATGGGCCCTTACATGGGTCCCTGACTTTTGTTTTCCTGGGTTTCTGTTGTCGTTGACTACTCCCTGCTTTTTCATGTTCTCCCAGTTGGAGCCTCCTAACACTCTTCCACTCCTCAGTTGGGGTAAGTCTCTCCCTCTGGCTCTTCATTTCTTCAGGCTCTCCTGGTTGGAGTCTCTTAAAAGCCTTCCAGTCCTCAGTTGAGGTGAATATCTTGCTCTGGTTTTCTGTTTCTTGATGTCCTCTTGGTAGGGGTTTGTTAAAACCCCAACACTCCCCAGCTGGGGGACACATCTCAGTTTGGCTGTTTATTTCTTCATCCTCTTCTGATTCGAGGTTCTCACAGATCCCCTCCTCCTCAATTGAGGCAAATGGGCCCTTACAAGGATCCTTAACTTTTGGTTTCCTGGGTTTCTGCTGTCCTCTTGATTGGAGCCTCCTAGCCTTCCTCCATTCATCAACTAGGACAAGCATCTCTCTCTTGCTCTTCATGTCTTCATCCTCTTCTTGTTGGAGTCTCTTAAAACCTCTCCTCTCCTCAGTTGGAGCAAACATCTTGCCTTGGCTGATGGTTTCTCTATCTTCTTCTGGCTCAAGCTTCTCACAAATCTTCCCTTCATCAGCTGAGGCAAACTGACCCTTACATGGGTCCCTCACTTTTGGTTTTCTGTGTTTCTGTTGTCTCTGGATACTCTTCATTTCTTCATGTTCTCCTGGTTGGAAACTCTGAAAGTCTGTCCACTCTTCAGTTGGGGCAAACATCTCTCTCTGGCTCTTAAATGGGTCCTTCAGTTTTGGTTTTTGGAATTTCTGCTGCTCCTGGGTGCTCTGTGCACTTGCTGTGAGGCCATATGACACCTGTGAAGCTGGTGTGCCCCCACTAGCATATTCCATCTGGGAACTTGACAGTGACGTATGAGAAGCCAAGATGCCTGCAGCAAGGAGCACGTCAGTGTGAGGGTCTTGAAGGAGCAGGTTGGCGGCACAGTCCTGAAGGAGCATGCCAGTCGTATAGTCTTGGAGGAGGACAGCAGTGTGAGACTGTTGCGGGCCACCAGTGGCGCGGCCTTGAAGCTGGTTCTCTGATTCTAACTTGCTTCCAAACTCAAATTTACTAGCCACCTGTGTTTTAAAATGTGGCTCCTCTGAATATTGGCCAACTGAGTTTGTGGATGGTGGCAGGGTTTTTTTGGTGACTGGAACATGTGATCTCCTCAGATCCATGTTGCTGGCTTGGGAGTTGAGTGGCACAGTGGGACCCAAGAAGACTTCCCAGGCAGGGTCCTCCTTGGCCTTCTGTTTGGTCTTTGAAGATTGGGACTTTAAGCCCATGTCCAGTATTAAAGCATTATGGCAGGGATATTTTGAGAGCCAACTCCAACTCTCTTCCCTTTTGAGACTGGGGTTTAGGCTGCTTTTCCTGGCCCTCAGGACAGTCCCACTCTGCCAGGTTCTACCCCTGAGGTTGGGCGCAGACATCTTATGAGGTGGCCTGCCTTTCTGTCCAGTCAGAGGGGCCTCTGAGGGCCCACAACTGTCACCAGGTGAAGACTTTCCCAAGGCCCTCTGGATACCCCACCTTGCAAGAATGGGAGCCAGGAGGGGACTCCCCAGGGAGGGAACTGATGCTTTTGTTGTCATTTGCTTTCCTTGATGGGGCTGAGGTTTTCCCAAAAACTTAGAAAAGTTGGTTTTTGACTGTGGTCCAGGTTGCCAGATGGCTGAGAGGGAAAATGTGGATGTTGCAAGGGGAGAGGGTTGAGCCTCAGATGGTTTGAGATTTACAGGCTCAGAGCCCTGTTTGGATGTGTCCCACCTGTGCCTTACCCGAAACCTTATGATATGTGCTTCCAGCATTTGTTGAATGCTTGGACTGAGGAAAGAAAGCTCATGGGAGATGTTTATACGAGGTTTCCAATGCTTCAGGGATGCTAGATTTCTGATTTCCTTATGAAGGTGGGTCTTAGAAGAAGCTTGGGTGGCGGCAAGCCAGGATCGACGCACTGTCACAGGGGTCAAACCCTGATCAATCTGCCTCAACTTTTTGTCTAAATGGGCTTTTAAGACTTTTTCTAGATGTTTCTTATCTGGGCCACCAAATAAGTAGTCTCTGGAGTCACTCTTTGAGGGCCTCAGCAAGTATCTTTCTGACTCCTTCTCAGAGTTCATTTGCAGAAACTTCTTGGAGAAGCTGGACCTGGAAGGATCTTTTGAAATACCCCTCAGATACGGCCTTAGACCCTCACTAAAATCTGTTTCTAGCTGGAACTTCATCTGACTCCTTCGATGGGATCTCCTAGGACACCTGGACCTTGTCTTCTGGGCATTCTGGCTCCTTTTGCCTCTAAAAGCAGACACCTGCCAGGATCCCTGCTTGCCCTGGGCATGATAAGTCACTAGGAATTGGCACTGAGATGAACTCAGTTGTAGAGACAGGTGGATGCTGCGGAGCCAGCTCCCCTTGAGTTGATCTTCTATGGGCTTCTTTTGAAGATGTTGCTTCTGGAGATCAGATTTGATTAAGTCTCCATGAGGACCAGGGACTAACCTTTGGGCCTGGGGCCCCCCAATGTCCTGGGGACAGATGGGAATGAGTTGGCTAAAGACTTTCTGTGATCTCTCGTTCACAGAGGGTAAAGGCGTCTCAGTTTTCAGTTGCTTCTGCAACAAGGGGTACTCCAGACTTTGAGTTTCAGTTGGGATAAAATATAATGGGTTGTTCTGAAATGGAAGACAGTAGAGCCCACAGCTACTCACCTGGGGTGAAGAGTAAGTTGGTCTGAAGAGGAGAGGAGATGGGAGGTAGGGCTGACTTTGTATCTGAACCATAGGTGGGGGCTGGTACATAGGCAAGTTTTGAGTGAAAGGCTGGGGTTGGGCCCCAGCACAGGGCAAGAGTGGGGCCTGGGAAAGACTTAAAGGTATTCCAGGTTGAACTGAGACTGGAAAGACATTAGAGATTCCATTGAATAAAACAAAGGGTGCCTGTGATTGAGAGGAGCTCCCGGAGACAAGGGCAGCTGCCACCAGGGACTCACTGTGCAGAGAGGGGAGACCCCAGAAGAGCTGGCTATATTTCCGCTCTATGTGATCCCTCAGACTCTCAGGATGTAAAAGCTGCTGTGGCTCAGGTAGCTGCTCTGGTTTGTCTTTCACGTTCCAGAAAGATTGAGGGGTTGTGATGTCCTGCTCAGTTCCCAATGATTTCCACATATTCCCTGAAGTGTTCAGATGGTAGTCCGAGCTCATTTGCTCTGAGAATGACCTGTCTTTTTTTCCCTCCTTACAAATCCTCAGCTCTACTCTCTTGGTGATTAGGATCTCCAGCAGCTTTTGGACATCAGGGTTGATAAATGAGGCGCTACCAATTTCTACCTGCTTGTCTATAGGGCCCCCCCAGGATGGAACCTCTGTTGGGTGGGGGGACAGGTCTTCTTTCCAGGACTTGCTCTGTGATGAGGTGGGGAAGAACAAGGCCTTGGTAGTGTCCCACCAGCAGGACAGGAAAGAAATGGGGTAGCTTGCGAAGACGCCTAGGTTTGCCATGGCTGAGATGGTAGATGCCAAAAAAGAATTACCTGGAGGGGAGCTCTTCGCAACAGTACCAAATGGGATTTTCTCCAAGTTGGCTCTGTCTTGAGGTTCTGCTGACAAGGTGGAGGCCAAAGGCACAGGGTCCTGGGTCAGAGAAGCTGAAGATATGGTAGAAATAGCCTCCTCCAGAGGCTCCATGCTGGGCTGGTGGGCCCCAGCAGGAGCTGCTTTCTGTCCCACACCAGGAGGATCTTGCCAGGAGAGCTGATGAAAGCTGCTTTTATCAGGGAGACTTCCCACGTGGCTGCGGGGAACACAAAACACAAGGTGCAGCCAGGAGCCCCAGGGCCAGGAGGGCACGTCAGGCCAGGCAGAGGGGGGCACCTGCAGCCACAGTCCTGCATGGTGCCCATGGCAACTTTACAGTGCTCCTGCTTTCCCACACCCCAGGACGTTAGCCATATCCCACTCCCAAGTCTTCCCCTCCCAGCTCAGTCCCAGGATGCCTGCAGACCTGGGGTCACACCAGACACTCTGGGAGGAAGAACAACCCAGGAGAGAAGAGGAAGATTCTTTACCTCTGAAGAAGTAAAACCAGGTTGCGGGTCCCTTCCAGCTCTTCCAGGCAATCTCTGCAAACTGAAAACCAGCAGACTGGGTCACAGTGAGGAAGGCGGGGGCCCCTTCCTAGGGGTCTTACAGGAGGCTGAGTGCACTATCTCTTTAAGGGGCCACCGTTGGGATTTTGGAGCCCAAGCACTAGTGTCCAAGGCCACATAATCATTCACAGTGACAGTGAAGCTCATGAAAGGGTTTATCATTTACAAAGTGTTTCCATATCCTTTACCCCTTGCTGCCTTCACAACCTGTGGTATTCACCCGCCTCTGAAGAGTGGGGATCACGGCACAGACAAATCTGAGCAAAGTTAAACCATGTGTCCATGGTCGAACCCAGAGTCTCACCTCCCGATCCAGGTGCTACTGGTCCAGTGCAACCCCACACGCACCTGGTTATGAGCAGGGCCACTCTTATATCCAGGCCCCTCACAGCTTCATTCTGTACATTGAACCTGGGTAGAGTCTGGGTTCTGCTCTCCTTTCCAGAAGCCTCCCTGGGGGTTCTGTTTCCCAAGGGAAAGACCTTCCACTGGTCTTCTCAGAAGCAGAGGCACTGGGCCCTTGGGGCTGGATACATGGGGGCTAACATCCGGGGCACACACAGCTGAATGGCAGAACTCACCTTTCAAAGCTCCACTTCTCTTCCTGCTCCTGCTTCTCCTTCTCAGATCCATGTGATGCTGAGAGACAGAAAAAATGAGAACCTGCAACCCAAATCTCAGTCTCCTGTCTCTGGACAAGCATCAGACACTCAGTGTCAATATATAATACGACTTTCTTCATTTCACTAACAGAGCTCTGTGGTTTTCTTTCCTTTCACTCATTTTTAAAGCAGATAAACATATTTTCTGTTATCCTTCTTTGAAGAGCATAAAGAAGGATTTTCCCTTTTTAAAAAGAATTGCAACCCCTTTATGTATCTGGTTTATAAATGTTTACATTATCTGTCCTTTCTTATTCAGCCTATAGTTTAAAATGAAAAAAAAAATCATAAATTACCTGCGTAATTTCATTTGCTGGAAATTAGTGCATTTAATTTCTACCATATGCAGAATACATTCTTTTCATGTGGCAGACATTTTAAGAATAATTTAAAAGAAAACTAGTTGATAAGTTAATACAAAAAAAAGTAGTTGAACCATATACAAAATAGACAAACAAGAACCCACTATATAGAACAGGGTACTATACCTATTATCTTGTAATAACCCATAATGAAAAATAATCCAAAAGAGAGTGTGTGTATATATATATATATATATATATATATATATATATAAAAGAATAATTATATATATACATATATATATACACACACATATATTATGTATATATACAAATATTCATGATGGTGTGATCACTCACCAAGAGCCAGACATTCTGGAATGTGAAGTCAAGTAGGCCTTAGGAAGCATCACTATGAACAAAGCTAGTGGAGGTGATGGAATTCCAGTTAATCTATTTCAAATCCTGAAAGATGATGCTGTGAAAGTGCTGCACTCAATATGCCAGCAAATTTGGAAAACTCAGCAGTGGCCACAGGACTGGAAAAGGTCAGTTTTCATTCCAATCCCAAAGAAAGGCAATGCTTAAACTCCTGCACAATTGCACTCATCTCACATGCTAGTAAAGTAGTGCTCAAAATTCTCCAAGCCAGGCTTCAGCAATATGTGAACTATGAACTTCCAGATGTTTAAGCTGGTTTTAGAAAAGGCAGAGGAACCAGAGATCAAATTGCCAACATATGCTGGATCACTGAATATGCAAGAAAGTTCCAAAAAAACATCTATTTCTGCTTTATTGACTATGCCAAAGCCTTCGACTGTGTGGATCACAATAAACTGTGGAAAATCCCAAAAGAGATGGGAATACCAGACCACCTGACCTGCCTCTTGAGAAACCTATATGCAGGTCAGGAAGCAAGTTAGAACTGGACATGGAACAACAGACTGGTTCCAAATAGGAAAAGGAGTACGTCAAGGCTGTATATTGTCACCCTGCTTATTTAACTTATATGCAGAGTACATCATGAGAAACGCTGGGCTGGAAGAAGCACAAGCTGGAATCAAGATTGCCAGGAGAAATATCAATAACCTCAGATATGCAGATGACACCACCCTTATGGCAGAAAGTGAAGAGGAACTAAAAATCCTCTTGATGAAAGTGAAAGAGGAGAGTGAAAGCTGGCTTAAAGCTCAACATTCAGAAAACTAAGATCATGGCATCTGGTCCCATCGCTTCATGGCAAATAGATGGGGAAACAGTGGAAACAGTGTCAGACTTTATTTTGGGGGGTTCCAAAATCACTGCAGATGGTGATTGCAGCCATGAAATGAAAAGACGCTTACTCTTTGAAAGGAAAGTTATGACCAACCTAGATAGCTTATTAAAAAGCAGAGACATTACATTGCCATCAAAGGTCCGTCTAGTCAAGGCTATGGTTTTTCCAGTAGTCTTGTATGGATGTGAGAGTTGGACTGTGAAGAAAGCTGAGAGCCAAAGAATTGATGCTTTTGAACTGTGGTGTTGGAGAAGACTCTTGAGAATCCTTTGGACTGCAAGGAGATCCAACCAGTCCATCCTAAAGGAGATCAGTCCTGGGTGTTCATTGTAAGGACTGATGCTGAAGCTGAAACTCCAATACTTTGGCCACCTCATGCAAAGAGTTGAGGCATTTGAAAAGACCCTGATGCTGGGAGGGTTTGGGGGCAGGAAGAGAAGGGGTTGACAGAGGATGAGATGGTTGGATGACATCACTGACTTGATGGGCATGAGTTTGAGTAAACTCCAGGAGTTGGTGATGGACAGGGAGGCCTGGCGTGCTGCAGTTCATGGGGTCGCAAAGAGTTGGACATGACTGAGCAACTGAACTGAACTGAACTATATATATATATATATATAAATCACTTTTCTGTACATCCAAAACTAATGCAACATTGTAGGTCAACTCTAATTCAATAATTCACAGAGATACACACATACACACACACACCAACAACAACATTGTTGACTAAAGCGGAAAACAGATCTCATTGATCTTTATGTTAGTATTCTAAAGTAAATGAACATTTTAATGAGGGAGTCATATTCCAACACCGCTGAAGTCCCGATTAATGTACATAAATGTGCCTATATATATTTGTGCAGACATATTTCCAGATTTCCTTTTGATTATTGGGAGAGCTCATTCCTAGAAAACATTTCCTAGATGTGAGAAGGATTTTCTATGTGAGACCCACCCTGGATTTCGTTCGTCACTGTTCCTCTGCTGAAGGAACATGCATGTTCTCAGGCCTATTGGAGAATCTTAGCTCCATCAGGTAGGTCTTGTCTTCCTGAAGCCAGGGCCCCACTCTAGCCCCCTGCTCTAAGTCCCTCAGGCCCTCAGCACTGTCCTCAGATCAGCCCTTGTCTGAGACGCCCATTCACAGCTGGGGAACTGGTTGAGTTCGGGGGCTTCTCCTGACTGAGAATAAACTCAGTATCCAGTTCTTGGCTCCTGGTCACTGTATCAGGGATTTGCCCTGGAGACCCAACCACACCTGAACTACTGATCTGAGATCTTTGGATAGAAATCCTAGTGTTCACTCTAGGCTTCACAATTAGTTTTCACTGATCCCCTGTCCAGCCTAGTTTGTCCCTAGAGTGATAATGATCTATTTTTTCTTGAGAATAGATGTCCTGTTTTTTCCCATCTCAGGAGTCTCCTGAGTTGGTTCAGAAAAGTAGACATAATAATAGAAAAGAGAATCATGTGCTTGTGGGTCTGGGCTAAGGGTTCCTTACCTTCCTGCTGTTTCCACATTTCCTAGGAGGAGGAAAAGATGGATTATTCTGGTGGTAGGGAAGGAACAGGAAAAAGAGACCCAGTCCACACAGAAAAGCAAGGATGATTTCAATTGTCCAGGCAGTGTAACTGGAGTTCAACCAAGTGTCAAAAGTGCTTTTTGGAGAAAAGAGAAGATTCTCCATTGTCTGAACCCCACTGCTGCCTTCAGGTAACTGAGCACAGGGCTTGTACTTCGGGACTAAAGCCCCAGGCCTGGCATCACAGAGCCTGCAGCCTTGTCACAAAGGGCTCCTGTGGGTGGGGGAGGGGACAGGAGAGGAGAGGCCTAGGCCACAGTCCCTCCCCCGCCATCCAGCCCAACAGCTCTACCCCTCCACCCTCAAGGGCCTTCGAGAGATTAGTCAATTTTCTATTCATTCCACCAGGAGACCAGATATTTACTGGTTCCTAAAATCTCTTGGAGACCTTGGCTTGAACCAACCAATTTCATGGCTTTTGAAACTCTGAAATTCTCCCAGTATTTTGGTTGTTTTCCAAGGATTTGCACTCTTAGAGTCTCCTCTGTCCACAATCTCATCATTTTTTTTTTTATCTCATATATTTACTTTGAAGTTATACTTCCTCAGCAAATTTCAGTTACACAATATAGTGCTATCAACTCTAGTCACCATTAGATCCTGAGACTTTTGTCTCATAGCAAAAGGTCAAAACCCTGTTACCCACCTCTCCCTATTTCCCCCAACCCCAGCCCCTGCCAACCACTTTTCTGTTTCTTTAAGTTCGACTTCTTTTTTTGTAGGTTCTGCACATAATTAATAAGAAAAAATATATGCCTTTCTCTGTCTGGCTTTCACTTAACATGATGTCCACTAGATTCATTCCCATTGCTGCACGTTACCACTATTTTCCCCATATTATAAGTCTTTTACTTTCATTAACCCAGAAATAGAAATTTATTTTATATTTAATTTTGCATAAATAATATGTTGTAGTTTTCATCCTCCTTTGCCAGCTTCACTCAGAGTAATTGATATGAAAATTCAAATTAGAGATTATTTAAAATTTATAAAATTTAAGTATAATAAAAAGGTAAGTAATTGAACCTCTAAATGATATGTTTTGTGCTAGTAGCATTTATAGTAATGAAGTTGGAAAAACTTCACAAAAACTTATGGGCCATGCTGTACACACACACACACACACACACACACACACACACACACATTTTGACAGATCAATGCAATATTTCCAAATCCAAAGCATGTCCTTATTTTCTTTAAATTTTTTGTATAATATCTTGACCACATTGCTTCTTACTCTGCCCAAAATAGACAGTCTCCATTTTCCAGAGTTTAGAAATATGTGTGGAACAACCTGAAGCCAGGAATGGGTTGGGTGAGCTTAAGCCATATTCTTTAGCGTGGACATTGGGACTGGGGAGCCAAGGCCTGAGTTACAGTCATCTTAAGTAGCCTATTATCATACTCCTGTGTGTTCTACACATATTCTCTTTTTCAGTGTATACTTGCTTGCCCCCTCCTACCCCTTCCAGATCCCTGGAGCTTTGAGTCTTGCCTGTACCTTATAGAGAGGGCCCTTTTGAGCCTTATAGTAAATTCCCTTGTGACATCATTGGACATCCTTTTTGGCAGGTGGAATTGGATATTCACTTAGGAAATTGTATTTTTTAATCACTACCTGGTTAATTTTTCTTAATATGTGAAATACGTATTTGGTTATACTGTCATGAATGTACATATTCAAGAACATATCTTTGGCATCTGTTGTTGCTTTTATTACAGCCTCTTCACCCTTTATGATGTTGTCACTGGGGTATGACAGTCCACAGTGTGAACAATTGGGGTACCTGAGAAGCATGCAAGGTCCTAACTTGGAATCAACGGAAATCATGGTGTATTCTGATTTTTGCTTCTTTGCAGGGGGACTTTTGACTGAGATGTAAGTTTCATTGTGACCTGGAAAATCAGGCTTGGGCACCTTCCAATATGATTCTGTGAGATAGTGAAAAATATATATTGGTCTCTGCCACCAGTGCCTGACAGTCAGCTCCTGAAACCTTGTAATTTCCTCCTGGTAATTTCCTTGTAATTATCATTCTGGGTGTCAAGAGTGTCTTTTGTTCTCATAATATGCCTTTGGGTGGGCCCCTGGATACCTCCTGGGTGAGGGTTGGCCCCTAGAAAGACCAAGCCATGATGAAGGCTTGATGTTTTTAGCCCCACTCCACCATTTTCTTGAGAAGGGAGAAGAGCTGAAAGTGGACTTAATGACTGATTGTGCCTACATGAGAAAGTCTCCATAAAAATCCCCAAAGTATAGAATTCAGAGAGTTTCTGGGTGTCCAAGGGGACAGAATTCCCTGAACTTGAGACTCTATCAGATATCAAACTATGTATCTCTTCATCAGGATGTTTACATATATATATATATATATATATATATATATATACACATACCTTTTATCATACTGCTATTGCTAGTGCTGTCACTTTAGTTGTGTCAGACTCTTTGTGACCCCATGTCTATAGCCCATCAGGCTCCTTTATCCATGAGGATTCTCCAAGCAAGAATACTGGAGGGGGTTGCTGTGCCCACCTGCAGGCAGGTCCATCTTTTATCATATTCTTCAATAAAGTGGTGGAAATAAGTATTTTCCTGAATTCTGTGAGCCTCTTTAGCAAGTAAATGAAACCTGAAGAGGGGGGTCTTAAGCATCATTTCTTGAGTACAAATTATTAACTCTATGAACCCTTTGGTACACATGAAAGAAAGTGAAGTTGCTCAGTCGTGTCCGACTCTTTACAACCCCATGGACTGTAGCCTACCAGGTTCCTCTGTCCATGGGATTCTCTAGGCAAGAATCCTGGAATGAGTTGCCATCTCCTTCTCCAGGAGATCTTCCTGGCCCAGGGACTGAACCTGCGTCTCCCACACTGTAGGCAGACGCTTTACCGCCTGAGCCACTCGGGAAGTCATTGCACACACGAGTGCTTTGTATTCAACTTATAGTTACTGGGCAATTTTACATACTACACATATAGATTACAGAAAGATAATCTTCTACTTGATTAAAAGATGATCTTGGTTATACCAAAAGAAGTCATTTGTAAGCTGCTCTTATTACCTCAGGCTGGCATAGGTAGCTGGCATGTTGCAGTCCAGGGGGTTGCAAAGACATGCCTGAGTGACTGAACAGCAGCAGCATATTTATTTCCAATTTATGCATGTTTGATCACAGAATAACTTGCTTCATAGTTAACTCCCTTCATAGTCACCAAAGTCATGTTTAATGTCTTCCTCAACAGATAAAACTACTTTATACTTAACAAGTCAAGCAAAGGTCTTTTTCTGGGGCCAGGACTCAAATCCAAGTCTGCTACTTTATTGCCAAATATCATCAAATGATGTAGGGACAAATTAAGAAATATATGGAAGAATATCAACTAAGGTGGTGGACATACTGTGAAGTTATTTTATTTACTTTCAATTTAAAAACAGTTATGCAACATAAAGTGTCAGGCATGATTTGATTTAAAAGACTGACCATTTAATAGTTTACTAGCTCATATGTGCCATAAATATCTGCGGGCTCTGACACACACACAAAAGGAGCATCATAAGCAGGTCTGAAAATAGAATTACTCTTAGCAGTGAGTCAAACCATAACCCTGCACTTTGTCAAGGTGTTCTTACTAGCAAATTCCCAGCGTATCACCTCTCACCTAAACTTTTTGCAGGTTCACCACTTCTGATGTTCTGCATTTCAAGACTGCTTTGCTATTTTGATGAAGGGTTTCCTTCTCTCTGCACTTTTCCAACAGTACTGTAACATCTTAAACATGAGTAAAAGTACAGTTCTATGAAAACCTCCTTTAAGAGAATTTTAGATTCCTTCCATCACACATTCACACTGACTCCTTGACCTTCATACCTGGTAAAAATCAATGGTTCTGGACCTCCTTCCACTACAAGTAAAGAGACTTCCACTTGTATCTCCGCCCTGACCCTGGACTACTGTTTCCAGCTGAATGTGTGTGTTAGTCATTCAGTCACATCCTGTTCTTTGTGACCCAAGGAACCGTAGCCCACCAGGCTCCTCTGTCTGAATACTGGAGTGAGTTGCCATTCCTTTCTCCAGGGGATCTTCCCAACCCAGGAATCAAATCCAGGTCTCCTGCCCTGCAGGCAGATTCTTTCCTGTCTGCACCACTAGGAAAGTCCCTGTCAGCTGAATAGTGGCCTCTCAAATATGTCCTAATCCCCAGCACCTGTGTTACATTATATGGCAGAAGGAACATTATTGATATGATTAAACTAAGGTTCTAGAAATGGGGAGATAATCCTGCATCATCCAGATGGGCTCCATGCAATTGTAAAGGTCCTGATGAGAGAGAGGCAGGAGGGTCATAGTCAAGGGAGAAGGCAGCGAAAGCAGACTGGAGTGATGAGGCCAGGAGCCAAGGAAAGTGAGCAGCCTCTAGAATCTGAAAACAGCAAGGAAATAGATTATCCACTCAGAGATTCCACAAAAAAATCTTCCCTTCTGACACGTTGACTTCATCCCACTGAACCTGATTTCAGATTTCTAACCTCCAGAACTGTAAAGGAATATAGTTTGGAGTCTCTTAAAAAAGAGACAGAATTTTCAAGAATCCTGCAAATTTTCAATTTCTCCACATGTATCATCCTACTTCTTCCAAACCAGTTAGTATTTGCTTGATAGCAGAATTATCTATGGATATGTTTGACTTTTCTCCTAGAAGGCAAATTTATGGAAAGCAGGAACCATTTTGGGCAGATTCAAGGTCATATGTCTAGGTTGCGGCAGAGATGGGTCTATCACGCAGTCCTTTGACCCAGTCCTTCTTCTTTATATCACACAGCTTAAGCCAATTGTGACCTGATTGTCCATGCATAATGAGGGTGGCCTTCCAATAAACCAATAAGGAGATATTGGGCATTAAAATATGCCTAGCATAGTAGCTTGGGACTAAGGAGAAAATAAGAGACAACAAATAAGAACCATCATGTATTTATCATTATGCCACCAAATAGAATTTTTTAGCTTCATCCTTATAATAAAGTACCAGTGTGGGGAAATACCCCACTACCTTTGCTCATTTATGCACTACAATGATATGGATGATATCACTGGATTGGA